TGACTTATCAGTCAATGAAGTTTTCAATTTTTCTGATATCAAGCAAAGGATGTCTGTATTTAAGTCTATATAACAAGAGGCACAAAATTTTATTTTCAAGCACACAGTACAGTAGAGTAAAACAATGAAATTCAGTGCAAAAAATTATATTGTTTAGATGTGTTGTTACTGATGTGGAATTGTTTCTCTGTTATAATAAAATTTATATGATGACAAACAAGAGTTAACATCAGTATCACTGATCCTGTTTGAGAATTTCTTCAGCAAATTGACAACCTAATACAGTAGGATCTCATTTTAACAGATTGTGGAACAATGGAATTCTTGGAATAACTGATTTTTTTCCCATATTCTACCAAATCAATATAATTTTACTTCCTTTTATTAGATCCATAACTTGAAATAACAGACTTTTTTCTAGCCACATCTATTGTAACTTTACATATTTTTAATGTTTAGTTAATTTTTTGGGTGTTTTCAAGAATTTGTAGAGTTTGATGATGCACTTGTTACATCTGGAATATGTACATTTGAAGAATTGTACAGAGTCAGCAGGCTGATATGATTGAGGAGAATCCATTTAGTGAATTTCTGACACTGTCCAAGTGTAGTGTTGAAATTTAGCAAGGTTATTGAATCTTTCCAAGTTGTGAAGACCTTCCTGACAAGTTTCATCATAAACAAATAGGCTGTACATGACATTTTTAATATTTAGCAGTTGTTGTATTTAAAAGGCAGAAAAGCAGCAGTGGACAAAGATGTCATTGCAGATCTTCATGTTTGTCTGAAGATTTAGACAGATTAGATGATCACGTATCTGGGCATCCAATGCCTACCCATCAAACATGTGTGCCCTCATGTATTCACTGTTCTCAATAAATTATCACATCAAAGGCCCAGATGGCAGGAAATTTGGCAAAATGGCTATTCTGCTTCTCTCAATCTGAATATGTGACCTTTCTCAAATTTTGTCAGCTGTGTATAAAGTTTTTGGCTGCATTGTACAGGCATGCCTGATATTTGGAAACCTCCAAACAACAGGTACACTGCAATTTTAAGACTGCATGCCAGGAAATGTCATCAGACTGTCATTTACATACCTGATAAGACAATATAGCTGTATGTCAACTTTTTGCAGTATTTCTGGATATGTAACTTCTTTTGCCACAGATTATATTTTTGAAGTCTATGATTCTAGTTTGTTTATTAAGCATATTTAATTAGAGAGAGCATTATCTATGGCTGACCATTTTTCTTTTTGTCTAATTTCAGTGAAGAGAATAGCAAAAATTCACCATCTAGTACTAGCAAATTGAATGTAAGTTGTTTAAATAATCCCTATATTAAAATGAAATTGCTTTATTTTATACTCTCTTGAAAATAATACTATTTTGCATATAGAGTAAAGGCCCTATAATTTTAAATATCATTATAATTTATTTTATCCATCTTGTTTTCTTTTTTGCTTCAGGTTAGCTGTTTGAGTTTCTAGTGTAGTTTACCTTGTAACATAGGAAGCATGAGAAAATTAAATTGCAGGCAGTTTTATTGTTCTTTATTTTCTAGTATCTAATTTGTTTTCAGAGGATGAATCTGTTATACACAAATCAATGCAATAAATATAATACAAATCAGATGTATAGTACAATATGTTCTTTTATTTGTTTCTTGATTGTATGATGACAGGTCCAATTGGTTAATTGTTCTGGATGGGGCGAGTTACTTTCATTTATATATTACATATTATTATTCATTGATAGATGTTTAGTGCATTTTATCTCTGAATAGAATTGTACTATAACAATGACTGGGTGAATCTCCCTTCTTCTTACCAATCATTAATGTTGCAGATATTTGCTGTTCCCAGAGGCAGATCCAGACAATAATCCTAGGGGGACAATTCCATCTTAAAACATAGTCAAGAGAAATTGAATTAACTAGTTGATTATAGTATCAAAATTGAAAAAACTTAAAAGAAGCAGCAATACATACATTTCCTCCCTTATTTTTTAGACACATTTGAAGCATTTAAACACTCATTAGTCAGTTCAGAGCCAATCATAAAAACACTTGTAACACTAGTGACACTTTGTGTGTTTTAATGCTTATTAATTAAATGCACTCTTGCTCATCATAAGTTTGTTTCTTAATGAATATTCTATTAAATCCTCCATTGCTATTTACAGTACAAAAAAATTAAATTAGGAAAATGTTTACTATTGATATCATGTACATGTATAAAAAATGCTGAAAGTCTTAGTACAAAATCCAGTTGTCATATGATAAATGTAATTTAGAAAGATCTAATTAATTTTATTAGAAAATCTCTATTCTTCGATGATAATAATAATTAATAATATAATGATGATGCTANAAAATAAATTTTCTGGAAAGTTAATGTACTGTATTTTATTTTTTAATGAATTTATTAATATTATATATAAAATAAAGTACAAGGGTTGATCAAAAACTATATGACTGGAGTTTCATTTGTTGTAGAGAAATGAGAAGTGTGTAGTAATTCCAATACATACAGTTGGCAACTGTGCAGAGTTTCATCTGCCACCTACAGCACTAGTTGTAGTTAAACACAAATGGCAACTCATTTGGAAAACTGGTCTCGTGAAGAAATCTGCTCAGTTATTTGATTTCTGTGGGTGAAACATGTAACCCCGGCTGAAATTCACTGGCAACTGGTAGAGGTTTACAGAGAGACTGAATGTCTCGTCAGCATGTTGCAGAATGGTGTCGGAAGTTTGCGGCTGGTAGAGAAAATGTCACCAACGAGGATCACAGTGGCCGACCCAGCACAGCATCAACAGATGTCAACACAGCAGTGTAGAGAAGCTGATTCAGGACAACAAGAAGATCACATTACGGCATATGACAGTAGAATTGGGAATGTCATTCGGAAGCCTTCATCACATTGTTCATGATATTCTGCAGTACCAGAAAGTTTGTGCCTGGTGGGTTCCACGAAATCTGTCCAACCAACACAAGGAGAAGTGCATGGGGGGAAGTCTGCAACTTTTGCTACGGTTCTCCACAAAAGGAAACAGTTTTTTCACTGCGTTGTCATGGGTGACGAAACATGGATCCACCACTACACCCCAGCAGTAAGCGGTTGTCAATGGAGTGGAAACAAACCTCCTCTCCAAAGACAAAGAAGTTTAAGGTGACAGCATCTGCCAGCAAGGTGATGGCCACAGTGTTCTGGGACAGCACGGGTGTCATACTCATAGAGTTTTTGGAAAGAGGGAACATAGTGACCTGCTGACCTATACTGTGAGACCTTGACACAATTGCGCAAAGCAATCAGGAGGAAATGGCCAGGACTCCTCACCAATGGTGTCATCTTTCTTCGTGACAATGCATCACCTCATACAGCCCAGAAGACCACCATGCTGTTGAAGCAGTTTCACTGGGACATCATCAACCACCCTTCCCTACAGCCTGGACCTCGCTCCAAGTGACTTTCATCTGTTTCCTCACTTGAAGGAGAACCTAGCAGGATGACGATTCGTTTCCTGGGGGAAGTGAATTGCCATTCGAATTCAATGGGGAAGTGAAACACTTCGCAACAACTTGGCTGAACATGCAAGGACAGGATTTTTACCAGGAGGGAATTTTCAAACTCATCACACGATGTGATAAGTGCCTAAACCAATATGGAGACTGTCGAAAAATAACCTAATGTAGTAGTATTAGTTGGCTGTATTGGTTGTATGAAATAAAATGTACACTTTTCACTGCAGGCTTTGTAACCTTAGTTTTTGATCATCCCTTGTATATTAATATCTATTCATGTAATAACAGAAGTTATTGAAGTAAATTAGTAAACAAATGTGTAGGGTTAGAACATTATAGAATAACTTAATTGGGTTTTTTTTGGTATAATAATAATAACAGAATAACAAAATTTCTTAAGTTATTATACATGTTATGAGAATTTTATTTTTAAAACGTGATTTAAAATTATAGACTAAATAATAATATGACGATGAATCTGGCAGAAGATAGTTGATGTCCTTGGACAAGATTTTTCTATAGCATAGAAATGCTATAGAAAATAAAGCTTTAAAATAAAGATTTAAAAATGAGTACACAGATAAAACTTTTAAATTATTAATTTTGTATTGTATAAATTGAAATTTTTACAAGCTTAATTAGTAAATTTAACAATGGTTCACATTCATCTGTTCACAATTAGTTTCAGTTGCTGCTAGTCATAGATAAACTAGTTTTTTTTCCTGGAAATGGTTAATTTCAATTTTTTTTTTATTATGGCAAGTAAAATGAAAATGAACTAATGTGATTTATTCATAAACTGTTACCTGTAACTAAATGATCACCAGCATTGAGGCATTAGTTCAATTTCATGTTTGTAGAAGTCATTTGGTTTCTGCTTCAAGAAATCTGTGACCACTTCCTGCACATCTGCATGAGTCAGAACTACAACTTTTTCAGGTGTTTATTCAATAACTCACCAAATCCATAAAAATTGCAGTGAAAGATCTGGATTGTAGGATAAAAACTTACAATAACTGTTCATGGCAATCAAGAATAAATGCAAAACTTGTTGTCAGATAGTTTGATCCTCTTGCATGACAACATGAGACTGCACACTGCTAATGCAACTTGTGACAAGCTTGAGAACTTCAAAAGGAAAATTCTGTAGCACACACTCTACAGTCTAGATCTTTCACAATGTAACTTTCTTGTGTTCAGTGAAACACCTGAAGGGTGTAGTTTTGCCTTGAATATAGAGGTGCTAGAAGAAGACAGACTTTCTGAAGTAGAGACCAAAGAATTTCTATGAGAATGGAATTACCTGACTCATTATCCAATGGAATTAATGCCTCAACGTTATAGATCATTATTTTTAATTTACAATTTGTGAATAAAACACATTGACTCATTTTCATTTGACTTGCTGTATTAAAAAAAATTTGAAATTAACCATTTCCAGAAAAAGAAATTGGTTGAACTATGACTAACAGCAACTGAAACTAATATTTGTGAACAAGATGAATGTGGACCACCTTATTTCTGTGAGATGCTGGGGGTTAGAGAATAATGCTCTAAACCCTTTTCCTGACATCAGGACAGTAAGTCCCACTTAAGTTTCATTGGATGGCTTTAAAGGGTTAAAATTTAGTAGGAGAGCATTTTCTAACACTGAGTAGGGAGATGCAATGAGTCCATTGATAGGGTCTGTTCTTTGAGGAAGTCCATATGGGATCAAGTGAACAAATAAACAACAATTTAATGAACTAAATTAAAGCATACAATAACCAAAGATACTGGGTTATATACAGGCATATGTAACATAACATCTGGTACTATGACTAAGGATTAACATATATCAATTATACAAAATTTAGTTTGTTCCTGAACTATCTACTTAAGTCTAGGTTGACCGAGAGAGAGTTTACAATTCTACATACACTACCTTGTGAAGATTATTCATTGTTTCCTGATCCAGTTTAATCGAACATCAGTGAAACACACTGGATCGGTAGTCAGTAGGGAAATATCCAAGGGAACAAGGAAACAATCTGGACCAGCTGTCGGCAATTGGTGGTCCATGGATCATTGATGGTTCGTGAGAAAATTTGGGTGGTCCATGGAGAAATTTGGACATTGATCAACTGAAGCTTATGTAATGTATTATGAAAGAAATGCAAAATGCTTAGTTGCTTTTATCACTCATTGAGGGTTTTTTATTCGAATCTAAAACCAAATACAAAGCGATTGTTATCAATAAATAATGAACAATAAACAATATTGTGAGTGCAATTGTTGTCCTTTGTGGAAAAGCACTAAGAGTCCATAAACTTATTTCAAACAAGCAGCAATGAACTTTAGGCTTCCATTAATTTGTTATAATTAAACGAGTGAATTTCATGTTAGTATAGTAAAATTAAACTTTCATGATGATAATTCTACAGATTTTATCATCGTTTAAAAAATTCATGATAGTGGTCTGCAGGATTCAAAATTGTGAGTTTAGTTGTCCAAAAGGTCAGAAAGGTTGCAGACTGCTGATCTGGAAGATACATCACAGTGTCACTATTCACAATGTAAAAGACACTTCTTGGTGAATGATTGCACCGAAGATCAGTGTTCGGCCGTTATATCCTCATCCAGTGTATGAATTAGATCAGGTGACTTTGTTTTCTAGTGATGACACTCCAAATGTGTTATCATTAGAAAACATAGGGCCAGTTAGGGTGTTGGGAATTTGACTTATCAGATCCACATTGAAAAATTGTTTTGACGTTCTCACATGTCAACAATCGGATATTGATAAATATTGTAAATTGTCAAAAAAAAATTTTTCCAATGTTGTACTTAATTACTCAACTCCCAAATCTCACATTTCTAAATTAACTAATTAAATAAAAGTCTGTAAATATTTCAATTTTTACAATATAAGATTAATAAATCTAAATTTTCATGTGTTCTCATTTTAGATATCTAATGTAAGTTACTTACAAAATGTTGGCTAAACATCAAATATATTTTAATACAGTTTTATATAAATTTAATAAAAACAGGTAAATTTTATCCTTATTCATTGAGATTTTCATAAATAGAAATAGACAGAACAAACAAAATAACAATAAATATGAACAATTTTGACAAATGTTACTTTCTACTGTATCATAACTGTTTTATATTAATGTAGCTAGCAATACTATAAAATATTTGAATACTTCATGAATCGTTTACAAATATATGAATTTAGCTTTTATATGAAACAGAATTGAAAACTTTTAATTTGAACTTTATATAACAGTAGGATATAAATAGAAATAGACTAAAAATTTGATTAAGATTATTGAATGATCATTATCATATAAATATAAATGACATTAAGTTTTAATTATTTTAGATTTTGTTGGTTTTTTTTGGATACCTTTATTGCATTATTATTTTCAAAATAATAATAATATAAATTTTAGTATTTTAATTTATTACTTTTTAAAATATTTTAGTTTATGACTTGTTTAATTTTATTTGCTAGTGATAGTAAAAGAAACATATATAAAGTTGCTACTGAAACTGATACCAGTAGTGATGTTAGCTGGATGAAAAAGAAAAAGAGTAATTTTCAAACACCAAAGAAAACATACAGTAAAAAGTATGTGTAAAATTTTCACATTATTTTTTTATTGATCCAATAGAATATTTAGTATTATTTTCCTCTAAAAAATTGTAATAAAATTAGTTTATTTCAGATCAGTGTGTAAACATTAATTTTTATATTTGATTGATTAAATAACAGTTAAAATACTCCATATAGCACTCATCAAATAAACAATCACCAGTTCATAACCAAATAGAAAAAATTCTTGCTATGAACATTTTCATCTATATGTAATAGACATCCTCAGGTATTGACGATATCAAACTAACGGGTAGTAGAATAGAATGTTTTTAAAAGTTCTGTTTAACTACTTAATTCAAATACATTGCGTTAAAATTGAAAATATTTGAAACATATCCAAAAAAATAATCAATTGATTTCACGTAGATCATGACATAAATATCCTCCGTAATTTAAAATATCTTTGATGCGCGTTTCACTCATTGGGATCTAGTTCAAAAATGGCATGCCATGCTGTGGAAAGCGTGTCAGTTTCCTTGAAATTAATACCAACCCCTTTTTTAATTGCCCGATAGATCTCCAGCGATTTGAGGTACTTGAGTTGTGCCTTATCAGATACTCTGTGTAGCAATTTAGCATATTGTAGTTCCACGTAAATGTCCTCATTATCCGCATATGTTGCTAATGCCGTTGTGGTCAGCTTTTTTCTTATTGAGTATTCATGTTCTTTCATCCTCCTGGCGAGACCTCTTGCCATTGCTCCAATGTATGCTTGAATGCCATTGCTCTTGCCAATGCTCCAATTGCTCTTCAAGATGACCAGGTTAACCATGCATTAACATATATTGGAGCAACGTCTTAACAGTAGTCTTCGTTAGGCTTAACATCGACAAAAATTCAATGCGAAGTGACATGCAACGGAGAAAAATATCAAGATGGGATAAATTAATATATTTTTTCATACATAATCAGTTATCTGAAACATTGATCTTCCGAACAACCCCAGTCCCCAATTGATTCGGATAATCGACGCTCTACTGTATTTTCAATTTTAACGCAACATATTCGAATTACATAGTTAAACAGAACTTTTAAAAACATTCTATTCTACTAGCCGTTAGTTCGATATCGTCAATACCTGAGGATGTCTATTACATATAGATGAAAACGTTCGTAGCAAGAATTTTTTCGATTTGGTTATGAACTGGTGATTGTTTATTTGGTGAGTGCTATATAATTAAGTAGGCCTACCCAGTTTTTTTAAATATATCTCTTCCATTTGAATATAATTTGTGAAATTTGTTTGATTAAATTTATTTTCTTGTATTATTTATCAAATACTGTTTTCTGATAAATTTGTGTGTTATGAAGCCTCTGCTATATAGTTTTTCAGAAAATCTATCACAATTAGAACAAGTTTTTACTTTATCTTTACATATAATTGAACTATAAATTATATATGAAATAGATACATCTGATGAAAAATTTTGGGGAAAAAAGGTCATTAATTAGTTATACAGTATATTAGAACATCAAATGCAACAAAATACATATCTTACCATATGTACATAAAACTCTATACGTCCACACAAGATAGCTAAATCATTAAAAGTTAGAAGTTATACATATTCACTCCATTGACATTCAAATGTAATTTGGCCTGAACAAATACGGAATGCTTCACATAAAAAAAGGAATCCTGAAAAAAGATGATTCTGTACTTAAAAATGAGGGCATCATTGAATCCATGGATGAAGGTGAAATTTACAGATATTTAGGATTTCAACAGATCTAACTTACAGAACATACACAAATAAAACAAAACTAACAAAAGAATACAATTAGTAGATTAAACTTGATACTAACAACAGAACTGAATGCAAAACACACATTTAAAGCACATTTGTTATATATAATTTATGCATTGCAGTAAATCTAATATTACACGTGTTATGTATTATAATTGTTATATATATTGTATAATGTAACTTTGTATGCAATAAGTCTAGAAACACAATGTAATATTTCTTTAATAATTTTATTTTATAGTTTAATAAATTAATTAAAAAATTAATATTATAGGAAAAAATTGAGGAAAAAACATATTGTGCCAACAACAAGCAGTTCAGAAAGAGAGAGTATCAAACAGCCTAGGACTAAGAAGAGAACTAAAAAGGTAATGTAAGAAAGTAAATAAAATTTTATAATATAAATATCAATTAAAATAACCTTTACAGATATGTTAATTTCTAACCAATAAGTTTATTAATGATTTAAATAAATTCAATATTACATATGAATATATTTTTATCAGTCTATACACTTAAACTTATAGATCACACAGTAACATCTATATTTGTCTCTACTTGTAATCATTTACAATTATTATTGTTGAATTTTTTTATAAACAGTAAAATAATTATTTCCTACTTCATAGAATCAATAAATGATTCTATGAAGTAGGAAACAAATGCCAAATGTTATAAACATGATTTAAGAATAATAATAATTGAATTTTTTCTTGAAATTTGGTTAATATAATTTGCATTTATTATACTTTTACTTTTTTCAAATAATGTAAATCCATATTAACAACATGTAAGACCTTATTAAATATTAAAGTAAATGAATCCTCTACAGTTTATTGGAATCACCAATTGTTTGTTTTTGAGTTGTATGATAGTAGGAGATACTCCTTAAATTTTACCTTTGGAAACATTTATTCTTTACTAGAGATAGATGATAATGAGTAATAATGAGGATTTAGTCTCTCTCCCAATACATTTATACCATGATCACCACCAGGGTCATCAAGTGGGGATCTAGGAATTTTCACTTAGGTCTGCAGAAAAATTAGTAGATGTAGTGGTTTCTACCCTTCTAAATTAATGTTATTTTTAATAACAGAAAATAAAATCTTTAAGACTCCTTTTTTATTAATAAAGAAATGTTCTATACATTTCACTTATTCAAGAAAATGGCAAAAAGTGGCTTACTTTACCTCCACATCCCATACAAACTCTTGATGACCCTGGCAGTCATTCATTGATTTCAAAATTGGGTGAATAATTATAGTTGTTAATTGTTAACAAGTAATTACTTATTACTTGTTTTCATTAATTCAAATCATGTTGTTGTTAAATATGATAAGTATAGCTTTATTAAGTATATATAAGCATAAAACTATAGATAAGTATAAAATATGATAAGTATATTTATTTCAATCCTCTATATTAGAGGAATTTTGGGTCTTTTATTTAGAAGTGTAGTGATGATTTTTGTGACTGGGAATGTCATAGTAACTTAACTGTTGTTTATATCATTTAACCATTGATAAACTTGGTTTTGTTACGTTGTTTCACTTATTGATGATGATAAGTGAGAGTTTGCTGTACTCTTAGATTTACATATATAAAATTAATATTAACTAAATACAGTTAAGAAAAATGCTTAAAAATATGTTTGTTGTTACAGGCCAAAAGTATGAACTTGAATGTAGAAGATTCATCACCTTATGATTTGTCAAAGATGTTGAATGAGACTGTTACTGAAAATAAGAAAAATAAAAGAAGAAAATATCCTTCCTTAAAAATTAAACAAACAAAAAAAGATTCAGACTGGTCTGAAATTGATAACACAGTACTAATAATTGAAAGAAATAAAAATTTTAATGCTTCTCATATTGATGATGAAATAAAGAGAACTATATCTAATGATACAATCAAAAGTTTAAATGTATATAAAAACATTTCAGAATCGAATATGTATCTAAATGACAATGACTCTGAAATAAATGAAACAAATGCATCTTTATCACACAATGAAAAGAATAACCAGGAAGAAATATCTAATATACCCAACTATGAACCTAAATTACCAGAATCGATTAAGGAATCTTTCAGTGAATTGAAAATAAATGTAAATAAAAATAGGAACATTTTACTATCAAATGAAAATATGACAAGTTATGAAAATGATTCTAAAATTGCTTCTATGACTGAAAATATAAACAGCTATATTGATAATTTAAATCCTGTAATTTCAGAAATGGTGAATGAGCCAAATGATGACCATTTAGAAATAAATGATATGCAAAATATTTGTTTATCAACAAAAGAAAATAATCAAACAAGAATATTAAGTTCATTAAAACCTGTGCCAACATTATCAAAATCCACAAATGGCTTTCCTAATGAAAGAAATAACAACATAAATGAAATAAAAATTAATTCATTTTTAAATGAAAATTTGGAAAAAAGATCTGAAAATAATGTGTCTAAAATCTTAAATAATAAAGAATCTTGGCAAAATAATATACAAAAATCAAAGTTTGATGATATTGAAAGATTAAGAGAAACTTGTGAAGTAGAAAATATTTCTTCTCATTTAATCCACGGTAGTCCTATTCTTGTAGATTTAGAAAATACATTGGATGAATCAGAAAGTAGTAAAGATGATTCAAAATTGATGATTTCACCAGAAGTAAGTTTTTTTTATCAAATTTAGATTATAATTAGGTGAAATTTTACTTATGGAGCCCAATGGCCCAAACTTCCAATTGCTTCCTCTGAATGAGGAGTTTCATACTACCCCAGAATTGCTGACCCCTTCATGTTGTATTCGTCTCATTGTATATATCAGTCTACCACCTATTTTATGTGCTTTGCGTGTAGACATGCACCTCAGTGCTTGCTATCACTTTCACCTCAGCACCCAGGTGAGGGCAAGCCCCAGACCCTCTAAAACTATATAACATCAGGTACTCCACGAACAGTGAAGTGGACTACTCATAGTTGCATGTGCTAAATAATTAAATGTCATAGTCTTAAAGGTTTGCCACCATAGGGAATACCTAAGTAAAATTCTACCCATAATTATAAGTCATCTTTTTGATAAATTATTTTTTTGTAAAATTTTCTAAAATATAGTATAATATATTAAATCACTTTTAACTTTTAAATTAGATTTAAGGAACAGCTTTTAAATTAGATTTAAGGAACAGTTCAATGGTTTTTAAATTGATTAAAAACCATTGAACTGTTACATGCAGAAAAAATTTTTTGGCAGAAGGTAGAATAAAAGTGTGACAAAAAATATTGTCTGACAAAAAAAATTAACTTAACAACTTCTTGCTTCTTGTTTTATCATTATTATAGCTATTTTATAATATTTTATAATTTATTTTATCCATCTTGTTTTCTTTTTTGCTTCAGGTTAGCTGTTTGAGTTTCTAGTGTAGTTTACCTTGTAACATAGGAAGCATGAGAAAATTAAATTGCAGGCAGTTTTATTGTTCTTTATTTTCTAGTATCTAATTTGTTTTCAGAGGATGAATCTGTTATACACAAATCAATGCAATAAATATAATACAAATCAGATGTATAGTACAATATGTTCTTTTATTTGTTTCTTGATTGTATGATGACAGGTCCAATTGGTTAATTGTTCTGGATGGGGCGAGTTACTTTCATTTATATATTACATATTATTATTCATTGATAGATGTTTAGTGCATTTTATCTCTGAATAGAATTGTACTATAACAATGACTGGGTGAATCTCCCTTCTTCTTACCAATCATTAATGTTGCAGATATTTGCTGTTCCCAGAGGCAGATCCAGACAATAATCCTAGGGGGACAATTCCATCTTAAAACATAGTCAAGAGAAATTGAATTAACTAGTTGATTATAGTATCAAAATTGAAAAAACTTAAAAGAAGCAGCAATACATACATTTCCTCCCTTATTTTTTAGACACATTTGAAGCATTTAAACACTCATTAGTCAGTTCAGAGCCAATCATAAAAACACTTGTAACACTAGTGACACTTTGTGTGTTTTAATGCTTATTAATTAAATGCACTCTTGCTCATCATAAGTTTGTTTCTTAATGAATATTCTATTAAATCCTCCATTGCTATTTACAGTACAAAAAAATTAAATTAGGAAAATGTTTACTATTGATATCATGTACATGTATAAAAAATGCTGAAAGTCTTAGTACAAAATCCAGTTGTCATATGATAAATGTAATTTAGAAAGATCTAATTAATTTTATTAGAAAATCTCTATTCTTCGATGATAATAATAATTAATAATATAATGATGATGCTAACATAAAAAATAAAATAGTATAAAACAAATCAATATCATCATAGCACAAAAACTAAATTTATGAAATTTATCTACTATAGAGAGAGAACTAGCTTTTTGTGCTCTAATTTTCTTATCTATTTATGATAATGAATAATTTATTTATATATATATTATTTAAGTAAATAAGGAAATGGATGAGAATCTATACCAAAAAATTATATTAAGATTTAATATTTTTTTTATATGAAAAAGGTATCAAATAATGCTGGATCTTTTAGAAGCTCAAATAAAACTTTGGAATATGTATCACCAGTTGAACTTCATTCTATAAACGAAGAAGGTAACTTTTTTAATATAATAAATTTAATTTTATGAATTATAATATTTAATTATTAAAAATTTATTAATATGTAGACTACATTCATAATTTTTAAGAGTCAGAAATTGATAAATTTTTTAACTGAATGCTAATTGATTAATTTCTGACTCTTTTTGACTCTTGACTATGGATTTGAAATTCAAAAATTATTTAAAATGCAAGAAATATTTTAATCATAACTTTTTTATATTTTGGTATATTTTCAGATCAATAACTAATTGAATATAGATAATAAACTGCTTAAAAAAAATTGTTTTATTTTCAAAACCAAGATTGTTCAAAGACTGTTCAAAATTTGTTATTAATACTTTATAGAAGTTTTTTCATTTTTTTAATTAAAAATTTTTCTAGATTCTAAATAATTTTATTTTTTGTTTCTAAATAATTATTTGTTGTACATATTTTATTGATTTTTTTTAATTGACCTGGGATGATAGAAGAAAAGATGAGGGAAGGAAGATATAAGGTTAAATTCTAGAATGGATTTAGCAAATGAGTATATGCCAATAAGATGTAAAAGTAGTGTCCAGATGGATGCCATAGGTATAGTATTTAAAGGTGATGAATTCAGAAGTGATAGCAGTCCTGATGATGCTGGGCAAAAACAGGTCACTAAAGTATTAGGGACATGAAAGATAAAATTCAACATGTAACTGCAAACCAGCAATTGGAAATTATTGAACTATTAATACAATTTAAAGATCTTCGTTTTTTTTATATGAATTCTAGTATTCCTAAGACTCTCCCCACAGGATAACATTTCAGAAGGAATGGCATCTAAGCAGGTAGCACTCTACAGTATTCTAGTGACATTACAGGCAAAAATAGATCAGATTATTTAAGAATTACTAGATGTAAATCTCATAGTGAAAAGCTCCTCTGAGTTTGTTCACCCAATGCATTGCTAAAAACAGAAAGAGACATATGACATTTTCATAATCTAAACTCAGGTACTGTTTCCATTCATTACCCACTAACTCTCCAGCAGAACTTATTCTGAAGATGTCCCATGAAAAATATATAATGTCTTTTGAATAGAGATGTGGATATTGGCATATACCTTTTGATCCAGGCTGCCAGTACATGAAATCGTTTGTTACACATCACATTATGTGAGATCCACGAGTTTTGGGGGTTGTTTTAACCCATTTTACTAAAATAATTCTATGTAAACATTTGCTGATAGAATAGTTTCAGATCGGACGTTATCCTGATTGTCAGTAACCAGATGGGAAAGTTGACACATAGGTGTCAGAAAATGCACGGTCATCACAACATGGGCGATCACATGACCTCTTTCTCATCACAAGTGAATAAAAGCTTGAGCCCCCGGAAGTTCAGGGTGATCAAATTGGAAGTTATACTTGGTAACTGTGTGCAATCCGTCTCTCAGATCTCCATACAGTGGACCCGATCCAACAAGAGGACAAGGTATCAGAAGAAGACAGATCACGGTTTCAGACTTCCATACAGTTTGCCATATCGACAAGGACTGCAATTCCTACAAAATTATTGTCGCATACCGTTCATTTCCTCATAGAGGTATTTTTGTTAGCGATTTGTGAACACTCTCTCCCACAATGGGAATAGGCTTAGCTAAAAGCTGCCATTTTGTATATATTTAGTATTTAATCGCATCTAACCTCCTATAGTTAATTTTAGATCTTAATAAATGCTTTGTATAATTGTTAAACCTGTCTCCTGTCTATCCAAGGACACCTGTTGACTTGCTCACGATCTTCCCCACTCAAGTTTGCCCTCCTTTAGCCATCCAACAACACAGAGGTCAGGCTTTACCAGCCCGTGCAGAGTAAATGGTCATTAGGGATTGACCCAGTGGTCCCCTGCTTATCTCACAATTATGTATAAGTGGAAAATGATACCATTTGGATGTATAAACACAGTTGCTATGTTTCAGCACTTATGGACAAAATAGTGAGTCTGCATCAAGGATATGCCAGGGCCTACATAAATAATGTAGCCATCTTCTCAGATGATTGGGATGCATGCTTAGATTATATAAGATCTATGCTGGATACACTTTGGCATAAGAGACTGATGATTAACCAAGAAAAAAAATCAAATTGCAAAGCTCTATATCTGGTATTTAGATCATATAGTAGGTTTGGTGAAACAATCCAGAATTTTATTAATTAGTAAAGCTGGAAAAAGTTAAAACAAATAAATAGATGCATAGTTTTCTGGAGATACTATTGGGACTACATTCCAAAACATGCTGAACTCTCATCCCCTTTAGTCAACACTATCTTGTGACATGGTCTTAACACCAAACGGTGGAAGTATTGTTGGAGCTTTTGTGGAATTAAAAGAACAGTTACAAGAGTCCAATTATATTTTGCCCTGTAGGTGGATGAACTGTTTACCTTATTCTCAGATGCATTGAAATATTTAGTAGGAACTTGTCTGGCCCAGATAACTCTAGATGTAGAAGAGACACCAATAGCTTTCACCAGCCATAAATTAAATGGGATAGAACTTAGATGGACAACCTTAGAAAAAGAGGCTTATGTTGTGATATGGGTTTAAAGAAATTTCAGCATTGGATCTATGGAAATTCATTAGTACAGACTACAATCCATTAAAATATTTAACATTAAGTACTCCACACAGTGCAAAACCAGCAAGGTGGGTCTTAGCTCTGCAAAATTATGATATCAAAATCAAGCATAGAAAAGGAAAGAAACATGTTAATGTCAACATATTATCTAGACTGGAACAGCACAGTGATCTCTGAGTCACTAAAGGTGCCAATTATTGATGGGAGGGATAAGCCAGGGAATCTGGGGTGCAATAAGCATCCATGAATTTGATGCTCAGTTTGGGTTGTTACTCAGTAATTTGTTGAAGATTGAATTATGTACTGTATATTAAAACTGCATTAGATAAAAAGCATATTAGTATAAATGATTAATTTATATTACTATTATTTATTTTTATTATCTCTTATAGTTTCACATTTTATATTGTAATTGTTTTCTTTCTTTAGTTAGAATTTCTTGCATTTATCTTTATTTTAGTATATATGTTAAATTATATATTTGTTATGAGGTAGAAAGACTTGAATATATCTATTGATATATTTAATAGAAATTCTTGATTAAGAAAATAAAAAATTTTCTAGTTTAATACAGAAATCCATTTAGTATGAATCAGCTGGAATGCATCCTTTGTTATACTGGAGTTATATGTATATGCTTATTTATTAATTTTAAAAATAATAGATAAATAATAACATAATAATAAATGACTTGTGCTACTTTTTTAGAAATTTATAATCAAGAAGAAAAAAAGTTCATGACTTTAAGATTACAACAGTTTTTAAATGTAAGTAATATCCTCAATATTACTTTTACATTTATTTAATAGGCTGCAAATAAGTTTTTTAACAGCTATTAGGTTGTTTGGAAAGTAATTTAGTTTTTTTCCATGGAAAAAACACAATATTTTTATAATAAATAAATATTTTATTGAATTATATATCGACCATTTTGGTCAAATACCTGTTATCATCGTTTCTGGTAGTAGCATGATTTCACATTCATAAAAGCTTTGATTGTTGCTTACAATAAACTGACTCAAGTGATTTTTGACATTGTCATTTCAAGTAAATGTTTTACTGTTAAAAAAAGTTTGTATAGACCGGAACAAGTAATAATCTGGGTGTGCTTGATCTGGCGAATATGGTTGGTGTGATAGCACGTCCATCTAAGTTATAACAGTTTCTGACAAGTTACCAAATTTGTGTGAAATTTGACATTATCATGGTAAAACACTACACTTGTTTTGTTGATCAATTCTGCCCGCCTTTTCTGTTTGATGATATTACTCAATTTGTCGATGGCAGTACACTTTTGAATCAATTGTTAAATTGTCTGGTAAAAGCTCCAAAAAAAATTTCCTTAAAATCCCACCAAAGAGAGCATCTCTCTTTAAGAACATGTGGAACCCATATATCGAGCTTTGAAACGAAACCAATTTGTTTCAAGTAATCATAAACGGTTCAATTTGACAAATTTAATCTCTTAGTGATTTCACATGTTATTCAGCAGTTTGCTTCAATCAGTACCATTATTTCTGGCAGATTTCACATTCTGGATGGCTTCAACTGGCCATCCAGAACGTGGTCAATATTGAAATTGCCAGAACAAAATTTTGTAAACCAGTTTTAGCACTGTCTTTCTCTCAACACATCTTCTCCATACATGTACCACAATTTTTTTCTTGCTTGAACAGCATTTTGATTTTTTGGTAATAAAAAAAGCAAAATATACCGAAAATGATGCTTTTGATTTTCCATATTTGATGGGACAAAAAAAAATAAACAATTGCACAAAATCAAACAAAATTTTTTACAAAAATACTAGCTGTCAAAGTATATAATGATAATACGGTATAGAATGAAAATGGCGGGAAAAATACGACTAATCCATCTAGTGGTAAAAAAAAAACTAAATTACTTTCCGAACAACCCAATATATAATTGCTTATTTTCATCCATCTCTTTTTCATTATAATTAAAGATTATGCATGAACTTGTGTTTTTTTAGAAGTTTCTCTAGACTTTTGTTTTTATTTTAATTGTATTATTTGTTTAAATTCAACATACTATAAGTTTAGAACAGTTGATTATAAAATTTTTAAGTAACTAAAAAAAATTTAAAAATTTTTAAGATTTTTGAAAATGTAAATGTGTATTTAGAATATTATTATAAAATGAGCATTTTTATTTATAATAATTAATTTTTTTAGTCTCTTCATTCATCATCATCTCCTGTTGAAGATCATTCAGTGATGGAAAAACCTTTATCAAGTGAAATGTCAAATATAAATAATTATGAAAATGGTAATTTTATTAGATATAGGCCTATCATATTTTTAATTAGTTAGTAATGATAAGGATAGAAATATCACTAGAACATGATTTATTAAAAAGGATATATCCAGTAGAACCATGATTTTCTGAGATAATGTGGACCAATGCTATCTCAGATAACTGAAAACTCAGATAAAATGGATGGCCACAGCCATTTCAAATTAAAAATTATGAATATAAAATATTTATATGATATTACTTTAAGGGTCTTTTTTATGCTTAATGAATTTAATTGTGTATAAGAACATCATTTATTATTATACAGTTAACATGTGCAATAGTTTTTTAAAAATAAAAATATGTATTATTATTAAAGTTACATTTTAATATGAATAAATATGAATTATAAAGTTACATTTGTCTTACATTAAGTTAAATTATAAAAGGTAACAGAAATAATTCATTTTGTAATACATGTTATATGGTTTAAACTTTCTTTAAAAAGTATTTTAGAGATTTTGTTTTATAGTGGTTCTTTTCTTCTTTACCACAATATTCTGCAGCAATCTCAGCATCATTTTTTGTGGATCTAGATTGTCCCAGATATGTCCCAGATATGTCCAACTCCTCCCTCACCATCCTCATTGTGGATCTGACCAAACCAGCAATAGGGATGGAAAAAGGCTCTCTTAGTACCAGAAGGATAGAAAGAGTTATAAAAAGAAAAATGTCACTTCAGAATCAACTACTCTCTCAGTACAATTGAGGTTAAAAGTACTACAGTATTTTACATGCCTAGTACATTCATGGTAAAGCTTTTACAAATTATAAGAAAAGCAGTGCATTCACTTACAGGTTTGCCTCAGATAATATGGAAACTTGATTAGTTGGGATTTCAGATAACCAGGGTTTTACTGCATATGGAATGAAAAGAATTTTAAAATTTAGTGTATATTATAATAGAAGTGGATTTACTTAGAAGGTAAATTGAGGTTAAAAGTAGAAAAAGGACACTTTGATGCTGAATTTAAAAATTGTGTGTAGTATTTATTTATTGTGAGCTTTTCAAGATATACAAAAATAGTAGATTTACATTTTGCAATGAAAGATAAATGAACAACATTTTCTGTATGAAACAGAAAATAAAGATTTTAGAACATATTGGAAAACAAAATGTTTTGGCAAAAAGTTTCAGTTTTTACAGAAGATTAAAAACTTATTTGAAACAAATAAGATTGTTTGTTATTATATATTGTGTGATTCAGTTATTTTTGAGTTAACATTTACCTTAACTAAGGATGTCAATAGATATGATATGAATGAGACAGAATTAGATTTATTATTGAAATTGATGTCTGTTTCATAATATTTATGAATCTAACTTTGTATTTAAAAAATATTTCTGTAATTAGATTAACTTACTCACATTGGTAAGAATGAAAAGTGAAATAAAATAACAATAATAAATGCAAATTAAAATAGTAAAAATCAACAAATATAGTAAAGGCATTTGTGTGATAACAAATTTGAAATACCAGTTTTCAGGGAATCTTTAATATTTTGTTGTATGCACTTTCTTAATTACTTGGTGATAACTTCAGAATATTTGTGGTGTTACATTAAAACACAGAACTTCCACTGAGTTTTTGATATATTGAATGATAATTTTAATAGGCTTGTTGTTTTAATGTTTGTTGTTTAATTTTGTATAAATCCTAATTTATACAAAATTTCTTCTAAATTTGAAATAGTAATCATGTTATTAAATAAATTATTGGAATGCAGAAAAAATTGCCAAGTGATATTTGAAAAATAACAACATAAGATTGAATTATGAATATATCATTATATTTTCTACGTATAATTAAACATGTCTGTTCTTTGAGAAAACAAACAGAAATGTATTGTGCAGAAATTCTAAATATGTTTTCAAAAATACTGAATAGAAGATGAATGAACATTATATTAATTTNAAAATATGACTTGAAAAATCAGAGTTGCATTTTCTGTCATTATATTGACCCTGAAGATCAGCTGGAAAGACCAAAAGTACTAGGATTTAACATCTTGTATCAAAATTTTGTACATCTTGATCTCAAAACAAACAAATAGCTTAGCTGTATTGAGGAATTTGGAGAGAAAAATTTACATGAATATCATGGATATTATTTTTATATCATTGTTTTAATTTCTATTTTTTCATCAAATTGCTATGTAAAATATGAAAAAAAATCTAGCAAATATTTGTATAACTTTCCCAGTTATTACAAAATTTTATTTTTAAAAATATTGTATTAGTAATTATTATAAATTGGCAAAAAACTTAATTTTGAGAGTAGTGAAGAGTTTTATAAAAAAATTATAAATCCTAATAACAGGTAAAATCTTCATTAAATCTGACCCCTCTTGAGATATGATCTACTCGTATGACTTCCCTCTATCTCTCATTCCCTCAACCTTTAACCATCAAAATTTAATAGCCTCAATTCCCCTTATATACAAGGTTCCATGCCAAATTTTGCTTCTTAATCTTTACCCCTGTTCTGAGATATTAAGTGAAATAGATGCCAACACACACAAATACATACCATGGAAAGTTCCAATACTTTCTCTTATGTATGCATAATAGCTGGGAAAGTGAAAATATATTTCTATTAATGAAATAATTATACTATACTGCATGATCTGATCATTATGAATTCCATTGAGATACCTGGTTGAATTATTCCACACAATACATATGCTTTAAATTTTTAAAGTTGATAAATATCATCATCAAAAATTTGTGCATTTGCAAATTGATTTTTAGAATATGATGACAAATTTATTAAATTCAATGGTTATGATATTACAATTATACTTTTTTGGCTATGTATATGTGAGAATCTGGAGCTGAGAGATTAACTTTAACAACTTTTGTTAAAATATTTTATTAAATATAACTGATAGAAATTTTATCTGTTTGTAACAATTATATGAAGTTGAAAAAGGAACTTCTTGTTTTTATGGAGGAAAATGACACAATTCCTCCAAAAGCAATAGGGTGGATTTCTCACACAATATCCATAGGATCACTCAACTTCCGTCACACATCGAAAGTATGGAGGGCTTATTTCAAATAATCTGATTGGATGAGATTTTCATATAAAAGGTGATAGGTCACCTCTAAACATCATCAGTTGGGCTAAGTTGACCCAAGCTAAGTTAAGCCAACTAATTCAGTACAGTTTATTCAACTTAAACCTAGCTCAGCTCACTTGACCTTTTAAGAGGCAAGTTATAACACAAAGAATCTAGACATTTAATTATGTGAATTCCTCTTGGGACACCTCAATGCATCTCTCACAAAGAAGACATCCAGATAATATGATTTATGTAAACTCTTGCTCTCTTTCTCTCGGAAGTTGAGGCTAGTTTGAGTTCCTTCTTCCAAAAGGAAAAATCTTATTAAGTTGTTTCATTTTTATTATGTTTAATCATTTAGATAATTTTTCATATTAGTTGTATATAGAGGATGATGATTTTTCTTAATAAATACAGTAAGATCCTGCCTAATGCAGGATGCATTCCTAGATGACAAAGTGCTAAGCGAAACAGTGTTAAACGAGACCATTTTAACATAGAGTAAATAATAAATAAATGTTAATGTATTTTTATGTTTAATTTAAGTATGTAAAATATCATAACCTATTACTTTTTATTGAAATAAATAACTTTACACGTGGACTTCATGAGAAAATGATATGGCTGACTTGCATGTGTTCATTTACAAGAAAAAAAGTTTACTTTTCTGCTGTGCAACAGAGGGCATCTTGTCATATTTTTTCTTTTTAGTATAAAAGAAGTGACCAAGAAAGATGAACACTGTGCTCACTGATTAAATAAAGTCCTCTTATCACTCATTGAATTATCACTTGACAGAAATAGAGGAAACTTTGTATAGTTCAAATTACCAGAGGAAAGTAGATAAGTGACTTCCACTTCTTCAAGATCCCAATGATCATCCAACTCTGCTGAATGTACATTTGGAACATTTCTTTTAGAACTTTTAAAAACTCAAGTATATACACTTAGACAATTTGATTTACTGGTTCCTGAACTCTAAATAAAAAATGTAATTGTTGCACTTACTTTGCACTGTTTAAAATATATGAAGTGTATAAACCCTTGTGATAAGTTAAAAAGTTATTTATTGGTCTCATCCTCTCTTTCATCTATGATCATACACTTACTCACAAAAAGAAATCGAAGGTCTCACATACATGAATCAGTTTTGTGAGTTTTCCCAAAGAAAAAACAATGACTGGTATCAGTAATTATGACATTATACAACAAGCTTATCCAGCAACAGTATATTGAGAGACCTCAAAACATAAGAGAAAGCATAAGAGAACTGTTTTCTTTAAAAGTGAAAATTGTTTAGTTACCTCCAGCAGGACCATATGCTAGTAAATAACTATGTATAACTAAGAATACACCATATGTATATTTTTAAAATTTAAGTGAGTTTTAATTATAAAAGAGTTTTAATTTAAGTTCTAAAAGAAAAAATATATATTTTATAGGACTTACATTTATTTTATATTTTTCAGAAGAAAGCTGCTATAAAATATATACAAAAAATGGAACTAGCAAAAGAGGAATGTTTTAAAGAAATGGTAAGACCAAATAATACTATAGTTGATTCTCAGTTTACATNTTAGTTGATTTGTAATTTGTCATTTATTCTTGGAATTTATTTATTTCCAAATATGTATACAGTATCTTTAGAATGTTTTTATAATTTATTCACTATTTTATTTATTAATAAGTTAATAAAAAATTAGTAATATTGAACATCATATTATTGAATATTATGTAATATAAATAGATATATTTTAATATATAATATATTATCTAATATATTCATATCATTGAATGTTATTTAATATATTTTGAAGGCTTTGTAATAATTTATTTATAAAAACAAAAACAATATTGAAAATATTATTTTCTTCTCTTGTTTTATTGCTATAAATAGTAGTATTATGGATTGTACATTTAAGAAAATTACACACTTATCCACATACAGTGCAACATTTCATATTGGTTAGAATTTAAATATAGGGCAGCATACATATGTTAAAGATGTGGATTAAGAAAAACTGCAAGTTATGTCATACTGAAAGATAGCTTTCTTTTTAGAAGAAAAGCATTATTATTGAATTGTTAAAAATATACATACAGTATATAAAATGTGTGTCAGAAGTAATAGACAATGTTTGAAATGTTCTACAGTACTCAAACATAGTTCCAAGCATGCATCAACATTGTCAAAGGTTTAACATGAGATAGAAAATTGTCCAAAGACTGACTAATTGATATCTAATTTATGGAAAAGACTTTCACAGTAAAACTAATATTTTTAATATCACAGCACTTCAAACATTGTCCTATTATAGTTGTAAGCTTCTTGCCTCTAATAAATTAAATTAAATAATTATATCAAGTAACCAATTGGTGGAGATATACTAGGCTTATCAAACTGTAATGGAGCCAAGTGACTGAGATCATATCAAGAAAAATAGTCTTAATTTTATTTCTGAAATGCATCTCACAAATAAAATTAGTCTTATTGTCTTGATGTGATCTCAATCACTTGGCTCCATTACAGTTTGATAAACCTTGTATATCTCTGCCAATTGGTTATTTGAAATAATTATTTAATTGTCCTACTACTTCTGACCCTGTACATCTGTACAATATACATGAATTTATATAAAAGTGTAATTTTTTTATTACTTTTATCATTAATAATAATTTTTACACATCTCAAAGTATTATAATAAAAATCTCACTATTGTTTTCCTCATGAAATATAATTTTTATAATAAACAAACTCCAATTTTTCTAATAAAACCCAAATTCTGCTTTACTGGAGTGCACACATTTAAATTAATAATTGTTTCTCAAGCACTGGATAACTAACAGAAATTCTGTACAAAATCACAAGTAGCTATTCACTGAATTAAATTGCTGCTAATAATTTTGTACAGAAATGTTCCAATAAAATAGAATTTAGGTTTTAACATAGTTTTTCCCTTACATAATTAAATGAAAAGTAATCAAAAGATGTAATATACATTTAACTATCTTTTAAATAAATAAAAAAAGTTCAAATCTTGCATCCATTTTTAATGCTTAAATTTTTAAAGAAAAGCCATTGGAATTGTTAACCATTTCTTTAAGTTTAGAACCTTTTTTATCAAATATTTTGATAAATTATTATGAATTTTTATTTATTATTTTCCCTTTAAGTTTATGATTTTACAGTATTCTAAGATCCTTTACAATTTCTGAATATGAATGTAATTTGATATTTATTTTGTCAATATTTTAAAATTATTAATAAAAAGATATGTATTTTAATAGGAAGGAATTGATTTCATGTATTCAAAACTTAAGAACTCAAATTGTTGAAATAGAAGATGATTTTTCTAAAATGCATTTAACAAGTGTTTTATCTGTTAAACAATGCAGATTACAAAGACTTTCATTTCGTGAAAAGTTAGTTAAACTTTCATATATTCAATATAATCATTTTTTTAAGTTTAATTTCATTAATTTTAATGTTTCATTTACAGTAGTTATGTTGATCACAAGATTACTATATAATTGTTGAACTAAAAATTTAGCATTATTCATAGATAATTAATACAACAAATTTTTATTTTAAATATAAAAAATTTATTCAAATATATTTTAATTTTATATATTTATAATTAATATTTAAAAGATATGGAAAATAATTTATACAAAAAAAAAAATTTCTAATTAGTTTACAGTTGTTTATTTTGAAAAAATTTAAATTGATTATCTTAATATTTATCATTTATTTATTATTAAGAAAATCCATTTTAAGTCTAATATTCTTGTATGTAGTTTAAAATTGACCCAACAGTAATATTAATATCATAAACTGTAAAATTTTTTATAGAAACTAAAATTTAACTTTTATTACATTATTCAATAACACTATAGAACAAAAAAAGTTCTGTTCCACACATCAAGAAATCAATACATCTGTGAAAATAGAGGCCAAATGTAATCTGAAACTGTGCGTTGTTTGGCAATATCAAGTCCTATGCACATTTAAAGAATTTTTATGATATAGTTAGAAGCTACTGTAGCTAGAACATGAAGTATTGCAACCATCTGAAATATTATGTACAGTATTTATATGTAAAATTGGTTGCTGAATCTGAAAATAATAAAAATGAGATGGTTTAAAGTGAATACAATGATTAAAACACTCATTTTAAGATGTAAAACTCAAATTTCTCATTTTAATCATTTTTAAGCTTTTATTTTGTATATTAAAGGATAAAATGTAAAAATTAATTTTACAGATTAATTAATAAATCTGTATTGAATGAATTCATCAGTTTTTCAATAAATTCAATGTTTACAGGATTTCCTGATTTCATATTCACAGACTTTTTTATTCTTATTGTAGTCTTAAACTGTTGGTGAGATAAGATTGCAGCAGCTTTGACATGTAGTTTTTGGTTTTTAGTAAAAACTGTACATTTCCAAGATGAGAAAGTATTTTGTAAGTAGTTAAATAAGAGATTTTTGCAAACAAAGAGAACATCTGTGCAGGTCAACAAAGAAAGAGTAAATTACCATATGTAATTATCTTTTCTGGCAAGCCAAAATACATTCAAGAGCAGGGTAAACAACATATTCTGTTTAAAGGAATATAAGGAGTTGAAGTCCAATCATTGTTTTATTTTTTTGGCATTATTTTTAGTTATTTTTCTTTTTGGGACACTGTTTTTAAGGATGGAAAACTCCCAAAATCCCAAAAATAAGCTAAATTCAAAATTAGAAACAAATGTTTACTTGCATATATGACTAATCCCATAATGCTCAAATATGTAAATAGGATTGTGCAACATTACACTTTGTAAACCAGATAAAAGATGAAGATACCTGTTCATTGGCAAGGTGTAGCTCCTAAAAGTGACCTTGAGAGGGGTGAACACAATCAGACCTTTGGACCAAATTGTCTGGCATTAGTTTTGGTGACAGCTAAGTGCTTAACTCATAAAAGAGATATATTCTTTGTTTTTCAATTTAGTTGGTACTGGTTGAGATTTAATTAGTTGTATGTCCCAAGTGGGAAAAAGAAAATTTTTTTATTCTGTTTTTTTTTTTGTACGTAATTGATCTGACTTGTTTTGAATATTTAAAATATTTATTACTACTAACTTCTTGTTCATAGTTCTTGTTGTTTATATACACTATATTATAATTCAGTGTTTTTCAACCTTCTTGAATAAGCGACCCCTTTAAAGTTAAAAAATTCTGGCAACCTGGGGGTCACCAGAATTTTAAAATCACTGACATAGTTTTAATACGGCTGTATTAAAACTATATCAGTGATTTTAAAAACTACGTATTTAAGTTTCTTTCTGTTGAGATCTAAATATAGATAAAAAAAACCAATTGAACTGTAAAATAAACAGGCACAGCCTTCTCACTGAGATTGTAGTTTTTTATTGTAGTATAGGACCTACAAACACTTGTCTTTTTCTTTTATCTGCGACCCCTGTGTAAGGTTTAGCGACCCCCCACCCTGAGGGTCGCGACCCATAGGTTGAAAAACACTGTTATAGTTCAACTTAAATATTATCCAGAATTTTTTTGCTTACATGTGTGTCGAATTCAATCTTTTTTTCTGTTAAGTAGTGGGAATTAAAACATACTGTGACCCATGTCCAGGCCTGGTACTTGATATAACCCTAATTTTGTGTAACACCATGTTTTTGGACTTAGTTTTGATTGTGTGGTACGTTACAGGATAAATGCAACACCTGCATTTTTCTGGCATGCAAAGATGCTAGATGTAGGGCAAAAGCAAGATAAAATATACAGTAGGCTAAGTTTTAAAAAGAGAGTGCCATTTTTATATATATATATACAAGTATATTTACACACACACAAAAATTACAGGCTGCACTAGACACATATAGAAACACCTTTGTTCCAAACAAACTTGTCAATATTCGGAGCTGGATATGATACGAATCCTTGCTGTTAAAATGCACGTGAGTATATCACAAAAATATTCCTCAGTCAATGTCTGCTGTTTGTAGTTCACCAATTATAACACAAAGTTCTAAATGTCCAGTCAGTACTTTTGTCAATGCAAATGGATTTTTACCTTCCATCCAATAACACAAAACCTGCACATGCATCTAACCGCACCACTCAGTTACTTGGTGCACCCTAACACAGAAAATACACCTTTTGTAGCCTCACCAGGCAAAAAAAAAAAGCTCATGTTGCCAATCTGTGCTTCCTCAAGTACCCCTTCCCTCTCCCTAACATGCTGCCAACCCGTATACCACAAATTCAAAACAAAAAATTACGTATAGCCCAAAAACCTGTGACGACACAATTTGATTTGTTTATGGCTAACTTCATCATCAGCCCATGTTTTAAGTTAGACCCTCTTAAAATTCCGAAAAGTTTTAATATACTTTTCCATTTGGAAAAGTCTGATTGCAAGGTAGGATGCAAGATAGTTTTATCCTAACTGGTGTCAGGAGATCTTTACAATAGTCTGAGAAAGTTGAATAATTCACACATTTTCATCTTTCAATGATTAATAACGGCCATTGTTAGTGAGATGAGGTTGTTCCAGACCCCTCGGTTGTCACATACATGTTATATATGTTAGGCTCAAAGACTGAAAGCACTCATTGAACAAAAAAATCAACCACAGCATGTTCTGATTTTTCAATTCCAACCACAATTGGAATTTCATGTTATGGAACTTTCAAAAATGTGTATCTGTTTAGGCATATTTGATAAGATCACAAAGTGAAATTTTTGTCAATATTTTTTTAATATTCAACCAAAATGAAATCTAGCAATATGAAAATGCCAGAATACATTGTGGATACTTATTAATGAAGTCATGATGCAATGTGTTTGTGCTGGTGAATGGAATAAAGCAGTGGTGTGCCATCATTAGAAGCAGTGGATGCGCCGCTTCCCCTGTATTTTCTAAAAAATAAATACATATTAATTTTAATTATATGAAAATAATCGCACAATATTTTATTATAACCGCAAGATGTATCTTATTACAAATTNTTCTAAAAAGAAAAATATATATTTTATAGGACTTACATTTATTTTATATTTTTCAGAAGAAAGCTGCTATAAAATATATACAAAAAATGGAACTAGCAAAAGAGGAATGTTTTAAAGAAATGGTAAGACCAAATAATACTATAGTTGATTCTCAGTTTGTAGGCTAAGTTTTAAAAAGAGAGTGCCATTTTTATATATATATTTTTTTTTTTTAGTTGCAGTTTAACCAGCATGCCAGTCATTAATACTTCTCTCTTACCATATTTTCATAGATTAAATGCTATTTACAACTGATTTAACTGATGGAAAATACATATTTATAAATAAATTTCTAGATTGGTTGCAATATTGGAAAACTATAAATTCTTGTAAAGAAATGTTAAGAAAAGAAATATATGTTTTCAAGTTTACCAAATATGCCATTTTAGAAATGTTGAGATACTGCATTGAAGAAATAAAATTTAAGCATTTTCTGACAGGCAAAGTGTAAACTGATGCATTAGATTGTTTTGGGGAATATCATTGATTGACTAGTTTACAATATGCTGTCACAAACCACACAATACCTGTACCAAAAATAGACCTATTTCAAAGCAAGGTGCACCTGGTTTGTTACACAGGCCAGGTGGACCTTGCCTCAAAATAGGTCTATTTTTGGTAAATTTGGAATATATATTATATATATACCAAAAATGTAAATATTTGTGGTCTGTCAATCTGTGACTTATGTGCAATTTGGCCCAACAATCTAAAATTTTTGGCACATTGCTTAAATTATAATTTTGATTTTTTTACCATATAAAATAATATGATAAACTGATAAGAATGAACATATAAAATTTATTCTTATGCACCAATTTATTTCTAAGTTACTCTTTATTCAAATATGTTTAAAAATAAATTGAAAAAAAATGTATTCAGTATGGAATAATTTAATACATGTCTAACTTTTAAATTCTAAGGAAATTCTATAGTTAATCATATTTTTAGGTCAGTTTGATTCACTTACAGCTATTCACTTGTTTGGTTATCAGCTTAGTGTACATAATGTGTGTTCAGTATATTTATTAATACTTCTTTTCCAAAGTGTAGCTTTCTTTATTAAAAATTATTATAATCCATGTTCATGTTTGTCATGATTGTCTATTAAGATATTTATGTTTCTAAAATACACAGAAATACATTAATAATTTTATAGTAATTTTATTCTAAATTTATATTTTAATAGGTTAAAACAATTTGAACAAGCAATATTAATGTTTCAAGAAACAAAAGCAGTTCTAGAAGCTAGATTAATTAGAATTCAAGTAAGTGAATTTAAATATTTTTCAATAATATGTTTACCAAAAATTTCAAATAATTTGCAGAAATTAATATTATTTAATATTTAGTTTTTTTACATTTTTAACCCAGTAATAGAAGTAATTTATTATCCTGTTTTCTATGGTTTTTCATGAAATTAATAAATGAAATCTTATTAAACATAACAGTCTTCTATTTTTTCTACAAAATATTTCACTGAAAATTGTTATTTAAAGGACTAGATGTGTTCTTGTCTTAATTGACATTTTCCATGTCTCCTGAGTTTTTGATTTTTTTTAAAGAAAATAAAAAATATGCACTTTGTTGCTATTTTTTCAGATAAATTGGAAGTTATATTTTTATTATATAAATAAATGTTAATGTATTTTTATGTTTAATTTAAGTATGTAAAATATCATAACCTATTACTTTTTATTGAAATAAATAACTTTACACGTGGACTTCATGAGAAAATGATATGGCTGACTTGCATGTGTTCATTTACAAGAAAAAAAGTTTACTTTTCTGCTGTGCAACAGAGGGCATCTTGTCATATTTTTTCTTTTTAGTATAAAAGAAGTGACCAAGAAAGATGAACACTGTGCTCACTGATTAAATAAAGTCCTCTTATCACTCATTGAATTATCACTTGACAGAAATAGAGGAAACTTTGTATAGTTCAAATTACCAGAGGAAAGTAGATAAGTGACTTCCACTTCTTCAAGATCCCAATGATCATCCAACTCTGCTGAATGTACATTTGGAACATTTCTTTTAGAACTTTTAAAAACTCAAGTATATACACTTAGACAATTTGATTTACTGGTTCCTGAACTCTAAATAAAAAATGTAATTGTTGCACTTACTTTGCACTGTTTAAAATATATGAAGTGTATAAACCCTTGTGATAAGTTAAAAAGTTATTTATTGGTCTCATCCTCTCTTTCATCTATGATCATACACTTACTCACAAAAAGAAATCGAAGGTCTCACATACATGAATCAGTTTTGTGAGTTTTCCCAAAGAAAAAACAATGACTGGTATCAGTAATTATGACATTATACAACAAGCTTATCCAGCAACAGTATATTGAGAGACCTCAAAACATAAGAGAAAGCATAAGAGAACTGTTTTCTTTAAAAGTGAAAATTGTTTAGTTACCTCCAGCAGGACCATATGCTAGTAAATAACTATGTATAACTAAGAATACACCATATGTATATTTTTAAAATTTAAGTGAGTTTTAATTATAAAAGAGTTTTAATTTAAGTTCTAAAAGAAAAAATATATATTTTATAGGACTTACATTTATTTTATATTTTTCAGAAGAAAGCTGCTATAAAATATATACAAAAAATGGAACTAGCAAAAGAGGAATGTTTTAAAGAAATGGTAAGACCAAATAATACTATAGTTGATTCTCAGTTTACATAAATTTATTTTATAAATTTTACAATAAGTGTAATTTATGCTGAAACAATATCATATACACAAATAGCTATCTACTTTTTTGGAGATTAAGATATAAAACATTTTATTAAATCCAATCATCAGAATTTCAAGACAATAATGACAGAAAATATGACTTGAAAAATCAGAGTTGCATTTTCTGTCATTATATTGACCCTGAAGATCAGCTGGAAAGACCAAAAGTACTAGGATTTAACATCTTGTATCAAAATTTTGTACATCTTGATCTCAAAACAAACAAATAGCTTAGCTGTATTGAGGAATTTGGAGAGAAAAATTTACATGAATATCATGGATATTATTTTTATATCATTGTTTTAATTTCTATTTTTTCATCAAATTGCTATGTAAAATATGAAAAAAAATCTAGCAAATATTTGTATAACTTTCCCAGTTATTACAAAATTTTATTTTTAAAAATATTGTATTAGTAATTATTATAAATTGGCAAAAAACTTAATTTTGAGAGTAGTGAAGAGTTTTATAAAAAAATTATAAATCCTAATAACAGGTAAAATCTTCATTAAATCTGACCCCTCTTGAGATATGATCTACTCGTATGACTTCCCTCTATCTCTCATTCCCTCAACCTTTAACCATCAAAATTTAATAGCCTCAATTCCCCTTATATACAAGGTTCCATGCCAAATTTTGCTTCTTAATCTTTACCCCTGTTCTGAGATATTAAGTGAAATAGATGCCAACACACACAAATACATACCATGGAAAGTTCCAATACTTTCTCTTATGTATGCATAATAGCTGGGAAAGTGAAAATATATTTCTATTAATGAAATAATTATACTATACTGCATGATCTGATCATTATGAATTCCATTGAGATACCTGGTTGAATTATTCCACACAATACATATGCTTTAAATTTTTAAAGTTGATAAATATCATCATCAAAAATTTGTGCATTTGCAAATTGATTTTTAGAATATGATGACAAATTTATTAAATTCAATGGTTATGATATTACAATTATACTTTTTTGGCTATGTATATGTGAGAATCTGGAGCTGAGAGATTAACTTTAACAACTTTTGTTAAAATATTTTATTAAATATAACTGATAGAAATTTTATCTGTTTGTAACAATTATATGAAGTTGAAAAAGGAACTTCTTGTTTTTATGGAGGAAAATGACACAATTCCTCCAAAAGCAATAGGGTGGATTTCTCACACAATATCCATAGGATCACTCAACTTCCGTCACACATCGAAAGTATGGAGGGCTTATTTCAAATAATCTGATTGGATGAGATTTTCATATAAAAGGTGATAGGTCACCTCTAAACATCATCAGTTGGGCTAAGTTGACCCAAGCTAAGTTAAGCCAACTAATTCAGTACAGTTTATTCAACTTAAACCTAGCTCAGCTCACTTGACCTTTTAAGAGGCAAGTTATAACACAAAGAATCTAGACATTTAATTATGTGAATTCCTCTTGGGACACCTCAATGCATCTCTCACAAAGAAGACATCCAGATAATATGATTTATGTAAACTCTTGCTCTCTTTCTCTCGGAAGTTGAGGCTAGTTTGAGTTCCTTCTTCCAAAAGGAAAAATCTTATTAAGTTGTTTCATTTTTATTATGTTTAATCATTTAGATAATTTTTCATATTAGTTGTATATAGAGGATGATGATTTTTCTTAATAAATACAGTAAGATCCTGCCTAATGCAGGATGCATTCCTAGATGACAAAGTGCTAAGCGAAACAGTGTTAAACGAGACCATTTTAACATAGAGTAAATAGGGATAGGGGAACACGTGACCGAAAAAAAAAATTTACTTTAAGTTATTTTTATATTAATTTGTATAATAATATATGTTAAATAACACATAAACATATACACACAGAAATATATAATAATATATTAATTAATTCATTTTTTGTGATGAAGGTGCTGACTTTTCTGAAAATCTTGTATTTTACAATAAAGTCGTGAAGTTTCATTTGTCGCTTTTTTTCTCTCCTTAAGCAAATGTTGGTAGCAGAAGATTGCATCCAAAATGCCTCATTTTGCGTTTGCACTCCTTTCAAATTCTAGAACATTCATTACAATTTGATCAATGATTTCAGTTATCGTTACCAAACTTTTACTAAAGAAATCTGTAGCATGTTCTTTGGGTTCTTTGTTTTCAGCATCTCCATTTTCAAGTTCTACATGAATTCCTTGTTCTGCTTGTTCTTGAAGTCATCGTTGGTAAGGCTCTTACCAGAAACCTGCAGTAACTCCCCACTATCCTGCTCATCTACAGTACATCTCCTGTATCGAGTTATGTTGACCAAATTATTAACTTAAGATACAGCGATAGGCTCTTCTCATTGAGAATTCTTGGATACCTTCAGCCATAACTTCTTCCACACTCCGTTCATGCATTTATCAGTTAATTCTTGCCAAGTCGCTATTTCCTATGGCATCCATGATGTTATATTTCAGACATGGGCAATTGCTGAAAGTGTTAATTTCTGCTTTTTATTATTATTTTTACAATTTTATTTCCACAATTTTGTGAAAATATGTTTATTAAAAAAATTCAATATTTGTTTTATATTATATTTATATTATATAATAAAATTGCTGTACAGAATAAAGAAGTACAGAACTGCAGTTCCCATGCATTTTGCAAATCCTTCATTTTGGCTCCCACTGAACTCTTGCTTGCCCACTCCTATTATATTTTTTCCAAAACTGCACAGAACAAACATAGGTTTAAGGAAAGTACAGCGCTACGATGAATTGCCTGCCACCTTTTGCTGATTGGTTTGTGTTTGGGAATAATCGTATTATATATGAATCAATGAAATATCATGTTAATTTGAATCAGCATAAATTTTGAGCATTTTTTTTTAGGCATCAAGCAGACCGCATTATATTGAATCAGTGTTAAGCAAGGCAGCATTAAGCGGGGTCTTACTGTATATCTTTTAATTATTATCTCATTTGTGGAAATCACAATAATCAGTATTAAGACTATTATGAAGGTGAATGATTACCACGTGAGAAGGAAGACAAAGAAAACCAACTTAACAAGTTTATGTACAATTTATATATATGTATATATATATATATATATACAAGTATATTTACACACACACAAAAATTACAGGCTGCACTAGACACATATAGAAACACCTTTGTTCCAAACAAACTTGTCAATATTCGGAGCTGGATATGATACGAATCCTTGCTGTTAAAATGCACGTGAGTATATCACAAAAATATTCCTCAGTCAATGTCTGCTGTTTGTAGTTCACCAATTATAACACAAAGTTCTAAATGTCCAGTCAGTACTTTTGTCAATGCAAATGGATTTTTACCTTCCATCCAATAACACAAAACCTGCACATGCATCTAACCGCACCACTCAGTTACTTGGTGCACCCTAACACAGAAAATACACCTTTTGTAGCCTCACCAGGCAAAAAAAAAAAGCTCATGTTGCCAATCTGTGCTTCCTCAAGTACCCCTTCCCTCTCCCTAACATGCTGCCAACCCGTATACCACAAATTCAAAACAAAAAATTACGTATAGCCCAAAAACCTGTGACGACACAATTTGATTTGTTTATGGCTAACTTCATCATCAGCCCATGTTTTAAGTTAGACCCTCTTAAAATTCCGAAAAGTTTTAATATACTTTTCCATTTGGAAAAGTCTGATTGCAAGGTAGGATGCAAGATAGTTTTATCCTAACTGGTGTCAGGAGATCTTTACAATAGTCTGAGAAAGTTGAATAATTCACACATTTTCATCTTTCAATGATTAATAACGGCCATTGTTAGTGAGATGAGGTTGTTCCAGACCCCTCGGTTGTCACATACATGTTATATATGTTAGGCTCAAAGACTGAAAGCACTCATTGAACAAAAAAATCAACCACAGCATGTTCTGATTTTTCAATTCCAACCACAATTGGAATTTCATGTTATGGAACTTTCAAAAATGTGTATCTGTTTAGGCATATTTGATAAGATCACAAAGTGAAATTTTTGTCAATATTTTTTTAATATTCAACCAAAATGAAATCTAGCAATATGAAAATGCCAGAATACATTGTGGATACTTATTAATGAAGTCATGATGCAATGTGTTTGTGCTGGTGAATGGAATAAAGCAGTGGTGTGCCATCATTAGAAGCGGTGGATGCGCCGCTTCCCCTGTATTTTCTAAAAAATAAATACATATTAATTTTAATTATATGAAAATAATCGCACAATATTTTATTATAACTGCATTATGTATCTTATTACAAATTTCTATACTACACATGAAAAGAAAGGTAAGATTGCTATTGTATATTTGAGTATTAGTGGCTGAGTGGAAGTGCTGAATTGTCAGCATCCAAACAACCAGATTCACGCATGCGCTTTACAGAGCACCAACGTCACCCCATTTAGCTGGTGGGAGCCTAGGACCTTGGGTGGATGCTACACGTATATCGCATCCAATTCTATCCAGGACCGGTTCTGGGCTGTTAGCAGCCCGCCCACTAGAAATTTGGCTGCAATCGCGAGTAGATTTATAACTTAACTCAACTGATAAGAATTTACTGGTATGTTTTTATGATAGTTCTGTATAGTTGACAGGAATTTTAAAAAATCCATTAAAATATTTGATATTTTTATTCCGCTCTCCGATTTTATATTACTCACGGATTTCAATGTTAAACCAGTGATATTACGATTTCATATAACCCATCTTTAAGGGGATGTAGAAAAAAAATGTGTACAATTTTTGTATAATGTTAAAAAATTAACTGTAACTTTGACAGCATCGTTTACAACTAAATTTAATGAATGAGAGAGATGCACAAGGTACAGAAAAAGCTCTAGAATTTATTTTCCTTGATTTATGTATTTGTTTGTCATAAAAATTTGTCTTTCCACTTTTTTCCCAAGACTACAAATATTTGAGTACAAAGTAACCAGTTTCAACTTATTTCTACTTAAGAAGTAGTTAAATAATTAAGCAATTAGGGAATCGGGGACATAAATAAAACCCTGACGAAAGAGCCAAAATTTTACTTAAACAAAAGCTTAACCAAACCAATCTCTAGCTGAGTATAGTGGGGACTGATTTGTTCATAATATTAGATGTAATTAAGACAGAAATTTTTCCAGTTCAATGAGAGTGACCGAAAAGTTGTAAATTTTGGAAATTTCCGAGGACACTTGGCCCTAAAACAAATTAGTTAGAAAACAAATGACTATTAAGTTTAACATATTTAGATTTTTACAGCTACAGTGAGAAACGTTTAACATCTACAACAGCCCTGTCATGTCCTTTGAGATATACTAGTGATGCGACAAAAGAGGTATTTGACATTCACCGGTATCATCACTTTGGGGATTTGGCAGTCTGCGTGTATGCACACTCNATTAACTAGTTTTGTTTAGATTAAAAAAAAAATAACTCCAAAAGCTCACATTAACTTATAGCCAGTTTAATTGAATAAAATAAAATAAAACAACAAACCGGAGAAATAATTTTCTTATTTTGTTCGCTTAAAGCAGTTATAAGTTCGTTTTTTATACTCCAATTATTTTTCCACTTAATTTACTTAAGTGGTGAATTTAAAATTGTTTTATATATGTAAGTACATTATATAAAGTGTAAACTGAAGAAAAGGTGTTAGAATATTTTTATGATTATTGGCGAAATTGAATTTACATATTAAATAACGAATGCCAATATTTTGCGAAATTTATGTGGCGTTTCTAGTATTTTTTTTTAAATTTTAATTGAAAATTTATTCTGAATATTTCCACACCGATTTTAATTAGCATCAGTTTCGAAGAAAATGCTAGAAATTTTCGTCTTACAAGTTAGTGAGAAAAGAGAGTCGATTAATATAAACGAAATCATTGGATGGAGAAGACAGAAAACCTTACTTTTGGTGAGGGAACGATGCTGAAGGTATTCATGATTCGATCGGGATATTCTTCTCGAATTTTGGTAATGAGAAGCGTTCCCATTCCGGATCCCGTTCCTCCTCCCAGAGAATGCGTCAACTGAAAACCTTGGATGCAATCGCAGCTTTCGGCTTCTTTTCTCACCACGTCCAGAACAGAATCCACCAACTCGGCACCTTCCGTGTAGTGACCTTTCGCCCAATTGTTACCGGCACCACTTTGACCTAAACGTTAAATTTTTATTAAGTAATTCCCGAAAGAGATTAGAGAAATAATTTTTCATTAATTAAACCCACCAAAAACGAAATTATCCGGTCTGAATAATTGACCGAAAGCACCGGACCGAACGGAATCCATTGTTCCCGGTTCTAAATCCACGAGAATAGCTCGAGGCACGTATTTGCCGCCTGTTAAATAGAAATATCGAAGATAAAAACACCGCATACAATATAAAAAGCTATTTTTTGTCTTTAGAAGAACAAACCCGTCGCTTCATTGTAGTACACGTTGATCCTTTCCAACTGCAGATCCGAATCTCCGTGGTAAGTTCCGGTGGGATCGATTCCGTGCTCGTCAGAAATCACCTCCCAAAACTACGTAACAGTAATAATTTATTTACAATTGCCAAATTTCATATATTAGAGGTTAGCTTAATGACATTCATTTAATTAAAAACGTCATTAATTTCGTCTTACCTTAGCGCCAATCTGATTTCCGCATTGTCCCGCTTGTAAATGGACTATTTCTCTCATTTTGTTTATTCGTAGATTAAACAGTAGTAAAATTTCTTAATGTTGAAGATTCAATTCGATTTATTTCTGATCTTCCGTAAGTCAAAAACTAATAACGGACGCTTCTTTTACGCATGCGTATGACTCAAACTTTTCTCAATATTTATGAATTTATTTTTTAAATTCGGATTGAAATCGTCGTGCACCTATTTATTATTTTTAGTAAAGAAAATATANATACAATAGCCACGATTATTTTTTTCAAAGACGAGAAATTTTCGTTAGGCATTGACAAAAATTCAACCCGGGCCGACACGCAACGGAGAGAAATTTCGAAATTGGGTAGGTTAATTTAATCGAAAATGCATTGTGGACGACCTCGTGGTCGTGGCTGGCGAAGTTTGAACGATCGCGCCCAAAAGCAGCGATACCAAAGAAGATTGGAGAATGAGAAAGAGATCCACTTTGAGCGTCAAAGTGATTCAGTCTAGTAGTATCTCCGAGACATAGTCGTGTCCCAAATACGGTTTTGCTGTTTTACTTGTTTAATTTAACCTTTTTGGTTAGTTAATATTTAAATAATATAATATTTTACCAGTTTTACCAGCATTATACAGTTGTCCAACAGAAGAGTAATCTATCTTATTTACAAATCTTTTCAAAATAGACAGTTTGACCGGGCCCTTCTAAAAACCGGGCCCTAGACATTTGTCTCATTTGTCTATGCGATGATCCGGCCCTGGAACTGTATCACGATGATGGGACATCTGGTCCAATGGAATTGTGTGATGTGAAAATTTAAGAGACTTTCATATCCTCGCATTTCAAGTGGTGGCAGTCGACTCTCTAACCACAACTGTTCTACATATCTTCCCTTTCTACCCCAAACTTTTTCTTGAACTCGTAATTCTTGATCCTATGAGCTGTAGGAGTGCATGTTCGACAGTACCACAGCAATTCTAACCAATCGGCCTATAGATCATTATTTTATATTCTCTTTGAATACAATATGATGATATAAATTTTAAGTAAGAGAAAAAAATCTTAAGAAGACATGCAATATTAACATTTAAATTAATCACTTGGCCTACAATTAACTGCAAAAAAATGAAGAAAACGGTGTTGTGACCAGGTTCGGAACCTGGGTCATTGTGGCCACAATGCAATGTCCTAATCTCACGTAACTTATATTTGATCAGTTCTTAAATTATAAGTTATAATTAGTGTTGTAACGAATAGTATATTCGGCCAAACTATTCGGCTTGATTAACACACATACGAAAATTGGCGCGCAAACCGCATTATGGCAAGGACTCTGCTTTCTATTGGCCCGCTGTCACTACGCTTTGCCAATCGTGTTAATTCTTGACAGTTGTAGCAAACAGACAAGAGTGTCATGGCATTATGCGATAAATGATTATATCAAATATGGATAACAATGAAATGGCCTGTACGTGTAAATAACGGCAAAAGAAGAGAGAAGGACCGCGAAGTGAAAATGTGAAAATAAATATGAAATTGAGTCGATAACATAATCGAACGAGTCGAGGCAGCTTATTGGCGCGAAATTCGCGGCCGTCGATGCCAAACGATTGTCGTCGTAGACTTCGGAAAGCTAAATGCTTGTAATGAAAGTCACGGGCGAAAGCCTGGGGCCGTTCGGGCTATCAAGTTGTCTCGAATCTGTGAAATCATAACTGCGACTTTTATCGACGTCCTATTTGTCTCTTTTCTCCGTTATCACCAGGCTATGAGTCATGTAATTATAAAATGGAAAAACTACGACGGAAAAGTGACGAATCGAAAGTATCGTGAGCGCGTATTATGATGTATGCATAGGCATACGTGGACTAGAGAAATGGAGGAAAGAGAAAGGAAAGAGCAAAGACGAGCGCTTAGAAAGGATAGGCAGTGTCAGGGTGCGACTATGCAGACGCGAATTTACAGCGAGCGAGAGATTTAGTTTTCGCAAAGGAAAACCATGCATAAACGAGAAGCGAGAAATAACGCTAGCGAGAGCGAATTTCTGGTTCTCGCACATATCTGACAGGTTTTGACATTTATCGCATCTCGCCTCTTCTCGCCACATATTCTCGCTTGCTCGGAAAAGTCGCTCGCTTGCGTCTGCATAGTCGCACCGTCAGACCCTCACATGTGTGCGACGATTCTCGAACGAATAGGTGTGTGGTGCTGATCTTTGTAATTATAAATTGTGAATACATGTGACTAATATTATTTTCTTTTTTATTTTGTGTATGTTACAAGTTATAAATAAATATAAACAAACAACACTAACTCGATAACATTAAATCTAAATACCAAAATGATTAATTTACTGTGTTTTTGTTATTTATTACTCCTGCTTTTAGGTATTCGGTATTCGGCCGAATAGTGAAAAATAGGCTGAATAGGCCGAATACCGAATAGTAACCGAATATTCGTTACATCACTAGNGCATTGTTTTAAGATTTAAAAAGTAAAGAATATTTTATGTTATTTTTATGTACATTTCTTTACAAAGCTATATTTAATTATAATTCTCTTTAAAAGTATATTCATACAATTGAAGAATATTTTGTACCAGGTATGTACCGGTATTTCCACCACACATTTTATTTCACCAAGTAAGTTTTCATTATTTTATTTTTAATTGTAGCTCTTATATCGTGGCTAGTGATTCAAAATGTAATTGTGATATTAAAAATGCATTTAGAGAAGTCTACGGTTTTTATTGGCTTATCGAATAAATTGTACGAATGGACCCTAGACCACACATTTTATTTCACCAAGCAAGTTTTTATTATTTTATTTATAATTTTAGCTCTTATATCGTGGCTAGTGATTCAAAATGTAATTGTGATATTAAAGATACATTTAGAGAAGTCTACGGTTTTTATTGGCTTATCGAATAAATTGTACGAATGGACCCTAGACCATCACTGACGTGCAATTAACTGGTTGACCCTGGAAGTCGGCTTCTTACAGAAACACAGCTTCCCTACTATCAAATATCACGGCACGCTACTGGAATAAAGATTAAGAAAGAAAATTTGGCAAGGTGGTAGCTTGTGTGTAAGGGGCATTGATGCTATTAAATTTTGGTTGTTAAATACAAAGATCAAGGGATTGGGCCATGTGTTTTATCTTGAGAGTTGGACTTAATGAAGATTTTATTTGTTATTGCAATTTACAGTTTTTTCTATAAAATCATTTCTACCCTCAAAATTAAGATTTTTGCCATTTTATAATACAGTAATTAGTAATACAAACATTTTTATAATAAAATCTCATAACAGTCAGGAAAACTGTTTGTTGCTGGATTTTTTAAGAATGATGTGTTGATGTAATAAAATTTTTATTTCATTAATTTTGTTTCAATATTTTTAACTTAAATAAATTTATTATTATTCAACTAACTATTATTATTGTAATACAACAATATATGCAAGCAATTTGACAAATAATTTTTGTATTTTGCAAACATGATATTGAGTTAAGTTGAATATAATGATAAGTTAAATAACTTTTTTAACTTAAATTTTTATTTAAATTAAAATCTATATAAATAATATTTAAAGAAGTTAATTTATATTAGTTTTATTAATTGACCATTGAAAATTAATAAAGTATGTCAATATGATCAATCTATTTATGGTGTTTAATGATATTCTTAATTACTATTATTTATTTTTCCAGGGGAAAAGTGTTCTACAACAACTTAGTCATCATCTAATGTCATTTTCTTTAATGTTTTAACTGTTGACCTTATATTGTTTCTGTTGGCTAAATGAAGATAATGACAAAAAACTATAATATAATGTTTGTGTTAGTTATTGTATCGGGTATATAACTTAAGTTGGATGTTTTATTTAACTACACTCTAAAAACTATAAAGATATTTTTTTTATTTACAAACTGTTAATTTTGATAACACACATCAGAAATATGAGGAGTGGTAAATTTGCATTTTCATTAATTTGAATTTTATTTAAAAATGAAGACATATTATATAAAATATGTATATTTACAAAAGTTGTTTGTAATAATTTGTAAAAAAAAACAAAACAGTGTGTTTGAAATTATTATTTTTTATGTAGATAATAAATAATGCATAAATAAAAATTTTTATTGTGAAAATTTAATGCAATTCACAGTACATCTATATTATTTCAGTTCAACTCAAAACCATTAAGTGAAATTTGAAAATTGAAATTTTATGTAACATATTTTAGTGTGTATAACCCGCAGAAAATTGCTGGAATAAAAGTAGAACTTTTGCATAATTTGTTCCCCTGGAATGGCCATTAAAGTGATGCCAATTACTGTTAATAATCAGTAAATAATTAGAATATGCTGAAAAATTGTATAGAATTTGCCAAAGCTCTCAGAATTTAAAAGGTCATGGATCAAGATCCAATGAAGGCAACTGATTCATGATGTGATGATTTGTTAATATGATAGGAGTATGTGTTAATATGCACTTTAAAATTACAATAGGATTTCTTTATTTTCTTTGATCTCTCATAAAGATTATATTGTGTTAAAACAAAATCATCGTAAGATTCAAAAATATGAAAATAATATAACAAAAAATATACAGGATGTCCACTTAACATCTGTCTAGGGACAAAAGCAATCATTTCACCAATGTTTATATTAGGTTAGGTTGTGGACTGCAGCAGACAAAAAAACACCAGACATTTTTACCATGACATGCACCCATTTCACTAGTATCTGCATCTAGGATATATAGAGGATGCCACACAGCAGTTTGAGTAGTCCAACATGATGTTGAATTTACAGTATGACAAACCACAATCCTTTCAGCACATTTTATGGACTGATGAGGCGCTCTATGACTATTACAATATACCATTGGGCTGAAGCATGCTCCATAATGCGCACAACATATATGACACAATTGCATTTTACCTAATTGTCTGGTGTGGAATTTAGGGCAATCAGCTTCTCGACAGCATTCTGAATTGTAACCAATATCAGAACATCCTAAACATGATGATGGATGGCTTTGCAATTGATACAACTACAGAAGGTTTGGTTCCAGCACAATGGCACATCCACCTCATTAGCTCAGCAGTAGCATAACCAGATCCAATGTAGAGAGACCCAAGGTAAAATTTAATATGAA